CCAGGAGTACGAAATTTGGAGGGAGTAACTCACTCTGCATCCTGGACTGCATCCTTGACTCTGACCAATACCCAATACTGTCTTGGGCCACTCTCTGCCCTGGTCTCTGTTCAGGTACATGCAAATATCTCTCTGTACCACCCATGGCACCATACTTCTCTGGATCCAGAACTGAGTCCCTTTGCTCCAAAGGAAGAGTATCTTGTGCCTCCAGTTCCAGGTTCCTTGGGCCACCCTTAAAAACAACTGTTTCGTCTGGCTCCGGTGTCCTTCTGGTTGTCCCCTTTGGAACAACCCCAGGGTCATCAATCGAGCCATCATGCTCCAAAGTTCGGGGGCTTCTCTCTGCCTCCATCATCTCAATATTCCGCTCCATCTCTGTACAAAGTGAAGTATCCCACCGCTGCCACCAATGTCGCGCGCCAGACTCCCGCCGAGTACCCGTACTCAATCGGAGAAGGTCTGGTGGCGATGATACGGGGTTCCGAGGTGTTTCTCACGGGAGCCGAGCTGGTTTGGTGCTTTGGCTGTCACTGAGCTAGGAGATGGAGAACACAGGAATATACAAAACAATCAATTACGGGATTTTAACAATCTATTGAACACTAAATATATAACAATCGATTTCACAAATGTCCTCAAATGCCTTTATGGCCAGTAAATCAAATAAAATGCTACAGCTCTCTGCTCTACACTGCTCTCTACTCTGCCAGTCTGCTCTGCTCTACCTGTCTGCTCTGCTCTGCTCTGCCTGTCTGCTCTACTCGACTCTGCCTGAAGACTCTGCTCGACTCTGCCTGTCAGCTCTGCTCTGCTGCAGCGGTCTGCTCTACTCGGCTCTGTCCGTCAGCTCTGCTCTAGCTGTCAGCACTACTCTACTCTGCCTGACTGCTCTTCTCTGCTACAGCTGTCTGCTCGACCCTGCTCTGCTACAGCTGTCTGCTCTACTCAGCTCTGCCTATCTGATCTACTCGGCTCTACCTGCTCTGCTCTGCTGCATGGGTGGAAATTACCTTTCAATGGGAGAATTCTAGCTCCAGACAGAAAAAGTCAGGAATGTCAATCAAAGATGAGATTAGACCCGAGATTTCTGCCTCAGTGGTAGTAGGTCAGCTACCTCAATGGTCAGTCACCTCTTGGTCGAAGCTGTCTCACTTCTGAGGCTAATCAGTTCACGTAAGGGGAAGCACTCTTGCTCCTAGTTGTCACTCTCTCTCCCTAGACACAGCTAACCACCTCAATAGAAGCACGCTTGCTCCAAGTCGTCACCTCTCCGAAGTAGCCAACTCTCATCAATAGGAACACACTCTCTCTCAGAGTTGTCCCTCTCCTGGGAGTAGTCAACACACGTCAATGGGAGCTCCTCTCGCTCCGAATCGCCACTCTGGTGAGATGAGTCGGGAATATCGATCAAGGATGAGATTAGACACAACTCACACACCTATGTGGAAGTAAGTACCTCTCTCCAACAAGATCACCTCTGCTCTCGGCGAGATAACTCAGGAATATCAATCAGTAAACTGAGATTAGACCAGAGTAACTCGCCTCCCGGAAGTTATCCAAGATGGCGGACACGCAATGAATTATGGGAAGAAGACGAAGAAGAAATGAAGTCACAAAATGGCTACGCTGAACAAATGGATCAACACATCAAATCTATCAGAGAAAGGATCAACATAAATCGATAGACACTCACAAACTGCAACTCTGCAAGGTGTCTCCAAGGCGCCTCTAGACTGCAACTAATATAACCACGTATATTTCTGTGCCAATCCTAGATCTGGTCGCCAACACGCAAGCAGCTAATAATCCAATAAAGTACTGTTTGTAATCCTACAAAACAGTGTAACACGCAAATATACTCCAAAAATGTCCTTTCTCCACTTTGGAATCCTTCAGCTTCTTCAATGCCTTCAAATATACAATATACACTTTGTTCCATCATTTTCCGGCGCTAGAATCACTAAATCACTGTACAGCTCTTCACACTTTGACACAAAAAGCTAGACTGCTCACATCATGCCAAATTCTCTCCTATCTCACTTCAATAATCATATGCAGCGGGAAACCCTCTGATTGGCTGAGCTGGGTTTGTTTACTGCATTTGGTGTTGCATTCTGGGTAATATTCGTGAGTTCTAATCCAGGCATCCTGTTGACATTTCTTCTTCTGTCTGGCTTATATTCCATTCACATACAGGTTGTACCATTCTACTCCAGGGGTTCCCTCAGCAACAGAGCAAATTCATCTCTAAATGGTACACACATGAGCCATTCGACTCTATGAATGAGTCGACTGACTCCACATAAAAAATGGCAAAACTGGTCATACATAAAATCAACAAATAAAAGAATACATCTTCAAGTCACATCGTTTATACAAAATACAATCACTGAGGAAACAAAATTCGCCACAATATCAACTCACACTCCTGGGGTCAATGCAATTTGTTGTTACAACTAATTGGCTACATAATAAAAAAATTTAACCAATAAGAGCAAGGGTCACTTGGAGCCTGGTTGCAGTTTACACACTTAAAAGTTTGAATAGTCAATAGAAAAGAAATCAAACTTTGCACATCGGATTATGAACCATTTAGCTTTAAGGGGGTAATAAGCTAATAAAATAAGTATAATTCTGGCTCCACTCTGGCTCAGAATTGTTTAAAGATATGCTAGGCAGATAAGTAGGTCAGTATTACATAATCATGAAATGAATAAGTCTGAAAATACAATTGGTCAGAATGTACTAAAACCTGCTTGAAACTGAAAAACATTGCATGCTCTATTCCACACAATACTGAGGCTTTTGAAATTCGCAGTAACAATGAATAAGTGCCTGTATATAATCATTGCATAGAACACACTTCATGCAGTGTTTATCAGATGTATTGAGTTGACCAAAATACTCCTTCGTTTACTATATACTGGACTACATACTGGCACCCTTACATATATGTTACAGTACATATTGTAGAATTAGCCCATAAGAGCTTTGCAAAATCAACATCTTATACAATCAACGTAAAAGACGGCTTGCCCAACATTACAGGCAAACTATTTTAGACAAATTTGAAGATAAGACTGATATTGTCACATTGAATTATAATAACAAGTAAATAATATTTTTGTAATATTTTGCACCGGTAAAACCAGTCCCAGTAGAATAAAACACAGGGTTACCCTAAATTGTAGAAACATGAATATGTTTCGTATAATTAATTAATTCATGTATCCCAAGGATTTCACCTGTTCCCTTCCTGCCCAAACCTTATTTTATTTTTGATTTCTTACAATAAAGTAAACTACTCTTTTTGTCATCTTATCATTTTTATTTCCACATAATATTGACGTGAGAACTCAAATGATCAATGGGAAAACAATGCTAAACTTGCACACTGAAATAGGTATTCCAGCAGGCCTACGAAAATATGGCTAGAAAAAGATGCTACACGTCTACAGGCGGACAAACTATTGCCCCTGAAAATTATTTCAAGGGTCAGATCACTAAATTCATGATTGTGTTGAAAAGCTGTTGAAAATGATTGTGTTCAAGAATTCATATTGCTTATTACGAGTGATTATTTAGCATGTTACTGAATATCTCATCAAGTGACCTTAACTACAGCAGCTAAAATAAGCATATCGAAATATTATAATTCAGTATGATTCGGAGAAGGCCAGGGGATTATACAGTTATAAGGGATTAGCAATTTATTTATTATCTTACAGTTTAGCTCAATTCTTGAATTTGAAGATCTATTGCCATATTGTTTAAAATGCATTATAATCGATCGATCTGATGGTAAGAACTAGTATGTGATATGATAGATTTTACCTTTTTGTCGTCATTGCTGAGGAATACAATAATACTATTCCAATTAATGATAACTCACTTATCGTATTACTTGTGCTTGATACACATGCTGGAAGATATGCTTTTAAAATTAGTAAACCATTACCAAAACTATGGTTACCCTGTAGTAGTGAGAGGCACATTAGAAATGAATATCACCCCCTTCAATCTATTTTACAGGTTTTTATGATTATTTCACATTTTTCTATATTTTGTGTAAACAGGATGGTGAATTTTCTTCAAACATTTCGCCTTACCAATATTTATTATATCTGTCAATTTAAAGAAAATTTTGTCGTTTTTCCCATTGAGCTCCATTATAAAAATGGAATTTTCAAACTTAATATTTTAAAATTCTACGTGGTGAAAAGTTGCATATTGAGTAGTTTGTTAATGTTATGGTGTTAAAAATTCAAAACAAAAAAGAATAAAGAAAAAATGCCACAGAGAAGTTTCAATAGAGTCTCTTTAACGAGTCGTATAGCCTTTTTATTTTTTCGTCAAGACACTCAGTAAAATTACAATTTCTCTGTAACCTGATGTCCAATCAAGATCATTCAAGTATTTATCACTCTACTATACCTAACCCCTAGAAATGCATAAGATACCCTGTTTGTCTAATTGTATTGCTTAGTATATTTTTGAAAGTACCTTATAACATCTAACAGTCATCCAATAAACCATTCATAAGGAACAGAAAAATAAAAACAAATAACATAATCATTACTAATAAGCCAAATAGGTTGCTCATGAACACCAAATGCACGGTATAGTAGAGTGTCTATGTGTTCTTGACACGTTTGGGCGTCCGGGAATAAGAACGTCTACCCAAAGTTTGCACGCGAAAATGACGTAGTTCATGACTGAAATCGGGAAGACAAAATTTGAGATTCACAAACAAAATTGTTCAATTTATGACTGTCTAAAATCACTTGCCATACTGCACGTGGTATTTTGCCAGTTTTACATCGGAAAGAGAACAGACGAGTAACCGGAAGTTATATGTCGGTTTTTATCACAGGTTTGATTGATTAGATAGATTTTTATTTCACAGATCAATTATGGTCTTGTGAAATACTATCAACTTTATCTGGTTTTACCTGCAAATGTCTAAGACCTTAAATTTTTCATTAATATTCTTACAGATTCTTGCTCACACAAACAATGTGTTTGAGTTGCAGTCGATGAACCCGGTGAGAAATCAGCGGGACGATGAATCGTACATGGGTAAATAATAAATATATGTACATGCAGGGCGTTCATAAAGTTCTTGCAAAAGTACTCTTATCTATTTGTTTCTCAATCAATCTGGCTGAAATTTCCACTCAGTATACCTACACTATTTATACATTTGATGCTTTAATAATAATAGATCCTTGACGGAAAAAATGATTGCTATAGTAACACGAGTCGGGGTAGGCGGAGCAGCATTGAAAAAAAGAAAAATTAAGAAAAATATTGGTAAGAGGTAACTTTCACATACTTTAAAGTACTCTTGAAAACACAAAACAAGCTAATGTTGCCATGCCAACACTAGATGATGTCACATGATAACATCATAGTTGAAATTTATTTGATTCATGACATCACTCATGGTATCATAGTGACCTATATTGGTTGATGACATCGGACTTTGTGAAAGGCAACGTCAATTTTAAATTTATCTTTGTGAAAATGGCTGCAAAATCAGCAATAGATGATGATTTGCAATTACAAATATTCAGTAGCACCGGGATGTATTTTTTTACTGCGAAATTCAAGAAAACAAACACTTGAAGATATTCAGAAGGTTTATTTGAAGGAGGCTATGGTCAAAAGAACAAACGGTAAGGACAATGCTAGATCAGGCCGTCCAAGAACGAAATCCAGTGAGGATCAGATGACATTGAAGAAAGCTATCCATAAAAAGGCCAATCACAATAAATTGTACCAAATGGGTTCCCCAATCTGTTTGAGTAATGGTAAGTAAGACAGCAGAGGTGTATAAATCATGATGGACACTATTTTGAACACCTATACTCTTGAGATACTGTTATTAAAGTAAAAACAACAAAATTAAATGAGGATGAGCATAGATTTCAGAATTATTTGACATATAATGTTTTTTTTAAATCAAGGACTAGCAAAGGTGGAGGTGTTTGTCTTTATATTCATAAATCACTTACTGTTATTGAGAGAAATGATCTTAATTGTAATAATGATAGGTGTGATGTTCTCACTTTGGAATTGTTAATGGAAATATTTTAATTACAGCTATTTATAAACCTCCTAATGTTAATATTGAAGTGTTCAAAGAAGATTTGGATATATATATATATATATGGCTTCCATTTTAAAGAGAAAAGAAAATTTCTTATATCATGGGTGATTTTAATATTGGCCTTTTCAAAAGTGAGCAACATCCTTAAACAGAAAACTTTTATGAAATAATGAAATCCATGATATTTTTAAAGTCAATGTGGCTGAATTTATCTTAAAGTGGCAAAATAATGACAACAACATTCATAATATATTTCCTAACTTATTTACAAGGCTTACTTATTTATGATGTAACCTGTTAAACCTTTTATATGTTCTGTATTTTATTATATTATTTAGGAATAAATTGAATTGAATTAAAACCATTGTGAACATTCAAACAAAACAGATCGGGTTTGCCTGCTCCGCCTACCCCTGACTCATGTGACTATAGCAACCATAGATTTTTGCCACAAGGACCTATTAATTATAACTTAGGAATAGGATCTCAATGTATGAATAGTGTGGGTTTACTGAGTGAAAATTTCAGCCAGATTGACTGAGATACAAAACCTTTAGAGCACTTTTGCAAGAACTTTATGAACGCCCTGAATGTACCGTATATTTTTTTCATTCATGATATATTTGTTTATATCGTTTCGTCACCGTCAAGTATGACGGCGGGTGGCTCTTTGAGATTGTCTTTATATATATATGTCACTATGAAACAGCAATCGGATTGCAACTATTTACGGAATTACACATCGATGTATAACACAAATACTGTATGTCTGTATTCTGATTGCTTCGGTAACTGTTAACCAGTATGTTACAGCAATCAGATTGCAACTATATACGGAATTTCGCATCGGTGTGTACAAATGTCTGTATTCTGATTGCTTCATGATTGATTAATCAGTATGTTACAGCAATTGGATTGCAACTATATAACGAATTACACATCGGTATAACAAAAACATGTCTGTATTCTGATTGCTTCGATTAATCAGTATGTTATAGCAATTGTATTGCAACTGTTTAAGGAAATACGCCTCGATGTATAACATAAATATGTCTGTATTCTGATTGCTTCGCTGACGGTTAACCAGTATGTTACAGCAATGGGATTGGAGCTATATAAGAAATTCGAACATGACTGTATGCACGCCTTCTATAAACTGTGAACAAAGTTAATGCTTCAGCTGTGTTATATTCGAGATCAATGCTCCAGCTCTGTACTAGTGTTTCGTTCAGTGCACTCAATGGTCAGTCCAGGCTGTTCCGTTCTTTTCGCAAAATTTAATTTTTATATGGATATCCGCTGTGATTATTTTGTTTCTGGGCAATATAGCATTAATTTCAATAATTATCAATGTAGTAGATATGCGTGAAACCAATAAAATTGGCCGAAATGTTAATAAAAAAGTCGGGGTCAGGAAGTAAGTAAACAAATTGGAACAGCCAAACGCTCAACCGGAAGTAGAAATGAAAAAAGTGGAAATGAACATCGAAATTGACGATTTTGCAATATTCTGGTGAGTTTTCATGTTCGAATCGTAATATAGACCTCAGAGTAGGGCTACTAGTTTCGAATACACCCCTTAGGTCTAGGCACAAAAGCTTTCGAACCCCTCACTCCCTTCGGTCGTTCGCCATACAGAAAACGTTTGTGCCTAGACCTGCGGGGTGTATTCGAAACTAATAGCCCTGCTCTTCGGTCTATATTTCTTAATTACACATCGGTGTATAACACAAATATGTCTGTATTCTGATTGCTTTCGCTAACTGTTAACCAGTATGTTACATCAATTGGATTGCAGCTATATAAGGAATTACACATCGGTGTATAACACAAATATGCCTGTATTCTGATTGCTTTCGCTAACGGTTAACCAGTATGTTACAGCAATTGGAATAACACATCGGTGTATAACACAAATATGCCTGTATTCTGATTGCTTTCGCTAACGGTTAACCAGTATGTTACAGCAATTGGAATTACACATCGGTGTTTAACACAAATATGCCTGTATTCTGATTGCTTTCGCTAACGGTTAACCAGTATGTTACATCAATTGGATTGCAGCTATATAAGGAATTACACATCGGTGTATAACACAAATATGCCTGTATTCTGATTGCTTCGCTAACGGTTAACCAGTATGTTACAGCAATTGGATTGCAGCTATATAAGGAATTACACATCGGTGTATAACATAAATATGCCTGTATTCTGATTGCTTCGCTAACGGTTAACCAGTATGTTACAGCAATTGGATTGCAGCTATATAAGGAATTACAAATCGGTGTATAACATAAATATGTCTGTATTCTGATTGCTTCCCTAACGATTACTGTAAATTAAAATTACTAGATAGTAATCAGTATGTCACATCAATCATGTTGCAATTACACAACGATTACACAACGATGTATGTACTTTGTGAAATCATACACCAAACTATTCACTGAAAATAAATGAAATAATCTTGGACAAACGATGCAAATTTATTCAAATAAAATGGGTTTTATATAAAGCTGTTGTTATTTTCAATCTGCACCATTCATCTTTGAAATATTTTTTTAAAAGGGGGTGCATTGACGTATGCTGGCTCAGAGATCACTGGTATGGTTTATGATTATGTGTGTTTTTCTTTTAATAAATGTTGCATTTCTAGAATCTTGATATGTAATGTGATGTATCCGCAAGGAGATAATGAATGAATCTAAAGGATATGCCTGTATTCATGGTTGACAAAGTGTCATTACTGTAGCTTGTGTATGGCCCATTTGCTGGCCATTGAACGAACCTGCCCCAAATTTCGACCACTTTTCTGCAGACAGACTTGCACATTCTGTGCGAAGTTGTTGACGACATAAACGGATTAATTTGTAAATATGGCTCTTATCCTAAAATATAATGTATTTCAACAATCCTAGAACCATTTAAAAGTTCAAACTAGAGATGACATGGAGGATGGGGATGTTTTCAAGTCTGTCCCGTTAGGGGTGGTAGCTATTTGGAGCACATATTTATATGGGCAGCAAATGAGTCATACACACGTCACGGTGATAAAACTTGCTCACCTCAAAGAATATTGAACCAATTCTACGTATGTCAGAAAAAGATTTTTCAAGCTCTATTGGTTAAACTGATATGCATTGCTAGGTATTGTGTTGCATTTATTTGAAACACCCTGTGAGTAAAAGACGTAGACCAATGGACTAGATTCTACAAAATCAATGAATTAAAAGGCCACGAATTTCAGACGGTTATATGACTATTTTATCACCATGAGGACATATGCTTTAGATCAATTCAATATCTCAAAGAAACAGATATACAATGATATTTAAGTCAGTTGGAATCGGTGATATTGAGGGTGCAATTAACCCATCAACGACGTTTTCAATGACATCCACCTCATTTTCACCAAAAGTCAATATTTTTACAATGTTTAATGCATTACTATTCTTATTAGTTTTTGAAAGAAGATTTTCTCTAAGATTAATAGTTCCCATGCTATTTCCATATAGAGAAAATCCATGCTATCCTTTGATACCAGTTTATTTCGGTCATCCAAATTTAGTGTCTTCGAAATCTGGAGCAATCCACTTTCCCTTTAGGAAATATCTCAAAGCACATTCAAACTTTTTACTAAACATGGTCACCGAGCAGAATTTTCCATGAGCTGTAGATGAGGAGTTGGTTGTCCGGGTGTCTGCTATAATAACAACTACTGCATAGCATTCCTTCTTATTATGCACCTTGTCTAGATACTAAAACCTGATCGGTTTTTACACGCCCGGTGATCGTACAAAATGGATGGAGGGGGATTAAGCAATTTCTGCAAGAAAACTCAACAAATTTGGAAGATTTATTTTTTCAAGAGAAAATTAACAAATGAATTTCCAAATGAATAGCCGCAGTGCATAGCAAAATATTTTAGGTCTTCTAGTATTTTTTTTGAATTGATACGCTTCTAAGATATGAGATCTATTAAAAAGGCGCATCATCACCAACGTGCAAAAGTCAATGTTTTTGCTATAAATCAGGCAACAATGGTCTACACGACCTGTAATAAATAGGTATAAGGGACGTTATTATCACAACACTAATGCTCACTTTTTAAAGTTAGTTTCCATGTGTTATACAAAAAATAATCGAAATAAATTAATATTGGATGGAGGGGGGAGTGGATGGAGGGGGGGGATACTGTGTATATAATATGATATATGGTAATACATGATAAGACATGCTACTTGAATTTATTCTTATAACTCCAAATGTTCCCATTTTTCATTCTCCAGAGATATAATATCCAGATTCTTACTGGGGTACTGAGTTTAGTTGTTTCAAATACACGGGTTCTTTTGAATATGTTCCATCGTAAAGACATATAAATCCCCCCCTCCATCCATTCTCCCCCCTCCATCCAACATTAATTTATTTCGATTATTTTTTTGTATAACGCTTTAAAATGAGACGGAGGGGAGAGCAATATGTCTATAAAGTGAAACAACTTCACACGAATTCTTGTATTTGAAAAATGAACTAAGTAACTTATTAAGAAACTGGATGTTACACCTCTGAAGAATGAAAAAATGGGGACATTTGATTTAGAGTTATAGGACTTTAAGTCGAGTACCATCTCTTATCATGTCTCATGTATATGTTGCTCCCCCATCCGTCCCATTTTTATATAAAAAAATTATTTATACGTTTGGAAACTTATCTTATAAAGTCAGCAATGGCATTAATTGAGTTATGATAACGTCACTTACAAATGTTTATTACAGGTCATGTAGACCATTGTTGCTTGGTTTATAGCAAAAACATTGACTTGTGCAAATTGGTGGCCTTGAGCCTTTTTAATAGATCTCAAATCTTAGAAGCGTATTGGTTCAGGAAAAATCGTAGAACACCTAACATATTTTACCATATCGTGCACCTATTTATTCAGGAATTCAAAATTTAACATTTTCTTGAAAAAAATAATTCTTCCAGATTTTTAAAAGTTTCCAGCAGGAATTGCCTGCTCCCCCCGTCCGTCCCATTTTCCCGATCACCGGGCATGCGTTTGGAATCATATTTTTGACATTTCAAAATTCTGTATTCTTTGATACAGGAAATGCAGATAAGTGGAAAAAGTAAAAGAAATACATACCGATAAGTAAATTCCTTTTAAAAGTCTATCGGAAGTAACCCCATTTAAGAAGGAAAAGGCCATGTTGCAATCAAAACGAAATGTATGTTCTTTTTAGAGAGGTCAGTACTTTCATACGGTATATTCATTTTTTGTGGCAGATTACTGGACAACAACACCATCTTTGGATCAGCTCATGGGCAATTATAATAAAACGTTGCCTTCTTAGTGAAAATTAGGTCAACAAATTTGAAAAATATGGTGATAGGTTCAATAGAGAGCTATCGCTTATAAAACGTTGACAAAGTGAGTAAATACTTATTATTGGTATGAAACCATGGTGATACTCGGCATGAAGTAATATTACTATCTAATCCACCTCATAGTCAAGGATTTTGGAGGAGAAAATAATTCATTCTTGGTAAAAAGAACATTAAAAATGATCTATGAAATATACATTTCTATATGTATAAGTACACTTTTTGCGAAACACCAAAATTCTATTCGCTTACACTTATAACGTCCATAGCTATATGCATGAACAAAATTGAACATCATTCAAGATTCTACTTATGAGCGAAATCATGAACGAAACGTCTATATTGTCCCTTTAATTTCACTGGGTCTAATTGACCTTATTAATATTACGTATAATTTGAATTGTCTTGAACCTCTAATTAGAAAGTACGGTGAGCGAGTTCGGAATGGCTTTCTGTATACTCCTTATCGCACCAGAGCGGAGCGAGTCTAGAATGGCTTTTTGTATACTACTTATTGCACAAGTTTGTTTTGATGTATTGGTACAAAAATAGGAGGGAGGGTGGTCTTGAACCTCCTATTCGGAGATATGGGGAGGGAGTCCGGAATGGCTTTCTGTATACTACTTATTGCACCAGATTGTTTTGTAATGTGATGCAGGAAATCAGCATGGTATTGTAATGATTCCTTTTTATTTAGCCTTCGATTGGCGAATGAATGACAGTGCGGGCACTGGCAGTATTAGTGGAGGTATGTCCTACTCATTAACTCTCAGAATTCTGTGGTCGTAAGAATTTATGATGAAAAGGGAAAATAGTGTAATAAAATCGAATAGATTTGCTTAGAACCACAGCAAATAGTATGTGATAATTAGTATCAAGATGTTGTTCTTGACCACACTATTATTATTATTATAAAATGTCATACCTTCATTTCTGACTATATTTTTCTAAAACTTACCTTCACCGTTGAAAATAAGCAAAAATTATGATTGATGATGTCATATTTTTTGCAAATGAGGTAATTAAAATAATTATTATATCTTAAAATCTTTCAAAAGTCAAAACCTATATTTTACAAAATTTATGATTATATAATAAAATAACAGATTTTCAAGAAGAAATGCAACGCCCCTTTTCAGTCGTGTGAAGTTTGATAAATTAATTTCGGGCAATATTTTTAAAAAACTTTCAATTGTTTATATGTTTAAAAATAATGTCTCTATTTATTTATTAAAGTCATTTATGTTCATGAATGATCAAGACTGATCACTCAGAAGGAAAGGTAATGAGTGTTACCGTTGCAAATGAGGTAATTAACATAAGTGTTGTATCTTATAATGTATGATATTGTAATAGCTTCATTTTGGTACCACTTGAAGCTTTTAACTCTCAAAACTGTGGAAGTTATTGTACTTTGAGAGAATTATTATCAACTCTTTTAAATATTCAAAATGAACGCCAATGGATACCATGGGACAATATTTCATTCTGGGAACATGCAAACATCTTTAGTATGAGCATTTAGAATTACAAAAATGTACAATAAAAATATATCTTTTGGGTTCATGGTACCTTCCTACTAGCCAATTGTACAATTGTACATGCAATACGTAAATATATACATACAATTGTACATGCAATAGGTCAATATATACACGTCAATATATACATACAATTGTACATGCAATAGGTCAATATATACATACAGTTGTATATATGTCAATATATACATACAATTGTACATTCAATAGGTCATTATATACATACAATTATATACATGTCAATATATACATACAATTGTACGTGCAATAGGTCAATATATACACGTCAATATATACATGTCAATATATACATACAATTGTACATGCAATAGGTCAATATATAGATACACTTTTATACATGCTGATATATACATACAATTGTACATGCAATAGGTCAATATATACATGTCAATATATATACATACAATTGAACATGCAATAGGTCAATATATAAATACAGTTGTATATATGTCAATATATACATACAATTGTATATATGTCAATATATACATACAATTGTACATCCAATAGGTCATTATATACATACAATTATATACATATCAATATATACATACAATTATACATGCAATAGGTCAATATATACACGTCAATATATGCATACAATTGAACATGCAATAGGTCAATATATACATACAATTGTACATGCAATAGGTCAATATATACATGTCAATATATATACATACAATTGAACATGCAATAGGTCAATATATACATACAATTGTACATGCAATAGGTCAATATATACATGTCAATATATATACATACAATTGAACATGCAATAGGTCAATATATAAATACAGTTGTATATATGTCAATATATACATACAATTGTATATATGTCAATATATACATACAATTGTACATTCAATAGATCATTATATACATACAATTATATACATATCAATATATACATACAATTGAACATGCAATAGGTCAATATATAAATGCAATTGTATATGTCAATACATACATACAAGGTACATGTAATAGGTCCATTTATACATGCAATAATACACTTGTCAATATACACATACAATTGTACGTGCAATAGGTCAATATATACATGCAATTATATACATGTCAATATAAACATATAATTGTACATGGGATAGGTTAATATATATATGTAATTTTATACATATATAATATAAACATGCAATAGGTCAATATATACGTGTAATTATATACATGTCAATGTAAACATACAATTGCACATGCAATAATCAATATATAAATACAATTGGATATATGTCAAAATATACATACAATATGTCAATATATACATAGAATTGTATATGCAATAGGTCATTATATACATTCAATTATATACATGTCAATATATACAAACAATTGTATATGTAAAAGGTCATTATATACATGCAAGTATATATATGTCAATATATACATAGAATTGTATGTATGCAATAGGTCATTATATACATGCAATTATATACATGTCCATATATACATACAATTGTATATGCAGAAGGACATTATATACATGCAATAATATACATGTCAATATATATATACAATTGTACATACAATAGGTCAATATATACATGCAATTATATACATGTCAATATATACATACAATTGTACGTGCAATAGGTCAATATATACATGCAATTGTATACATGTCAATATATACATACACTTGTATATGCAATATGTCAATATATACATGCAAATATATACATGTCAATATATACATACACTTGTATATACAATATGTCAATATATACATGCAATTATATACATGTCAATATATACATACAATTGTACGTGCAATATGTCAATATATACATGCAATTGTATACATGTCAATATATACATACACTTGTATATGCAATATGTCAATATATACATGCAATTTTATACATGTCAATATATACATACACTTGTATATACAATATGTCAATATATACATGCAATTATATACATGTCAATATATACATACAATTGTACGTGCAATAGGTTAATATATACATGCAATTGTATACATGTCAATATATACATACACTTGTATATGCAATATGTCAATATATACATGCAATTGTATACATGTCAATATATACATACACTTGTACGTGCAATAGGTTAATATATACATGCAATTGTATACATGTCAATATATACATACACTTGTATATGCAATATGTCAATATATACATGCAATTGTATACATGTCAATATATACATACACTTGTATATGCAATATGTCAATATATACATGCAATTATATACATGTCAATATATACATACACTTGTATATGCAATATGTCAATATATACATACAATTATATACATGTCAATATATACATACACTTGTATATACAATATGTCAATATATACATGCAATTATATACATGTCAATATATGCATACAATTGTACATGCGATAGGTCAATATATACATGCAAGTATATATATGTCAATATATACATAGGATTGTACGTGCAATATGTCAATATATACATGCAATTATATACATGTCAATATATACATACAATTGTACGTGCAATAGGTCAATATATACATGCAACTGTATACATGTCAATATATACATACACTTGTACGTGCAATATGTCAATATATACATGCAATTGTATACATGTCAATATATACATACACTTGTACGTGCAATATGTCAATATATACATGCAATTATACACATGTCAATATAAACATATAATTGTACATGGGATAGGTTAATATATATATGTAATTTTATACATATATAATATAAACATGCAATAGGTCAATATATACGTGTAATTATATACATGTCAATGTAAACATACAATTGCACATGCAATAATCAATATATAAATACAATTGGATATATGTCAAAATATACATACAATATGTCAATATATACATAGAATTGTATATGCAATAGGTCATTATATACATTCAATTATATACATGTCAATATATACAAACAATTGTATATGTAAAAGGTCATTATATACATGCAAGTATATATATGTCAATATATACATAGAATTGTATGTATGCAATAGGTCATTATATACATGCAATTATATACATGTCCATATATACATACAATTGTATATGCAGAAGGACATTATATACATGCAATAATATACATGTCAATATATATATATACAATTGTACATACAATAGGTCAATATATACATGCAATTATATACATGTCAATATATACATACAATTGTACGTGCAATAGGTCAATATATACATGCAATTGTATACATGTCAATATATACATTCACTTGTATATGCAATATGTCAATATATACATGCAATTATATACATGTCAATATATACATACACTTGTATATACAATATGTCAATATATACATGCAATTATATACATGTCAATATATACATACAATTGTACGTGCAATATGTCAATATATACATGCAATTGTATACATGTCAATATATACATACACTTGTATATGCAATATGTCAATATATACATGCAATTATATACATGTCAATATATACATACACTTGTATATACAATATGTCAATATATACATGCAATTATATACATGTCAATATATACATACAATTGTACGTGCAATAGGTCAATATATACATGCAATTGTATACATGTCAATATATACATACACTTGTATATGCAATATGTCAATATATACATGCAATTGTATACATGTCAATATATACATACACTTGTATATGCAATATGTCAATATATACATGCAATTATATACATGTCAATATATACATACACTTGTATATACAATATGTCAATATATACATGCAATTATATACATGTCAATATATACATACAATTGTACGTGCAATAGGTCAATATATACATGCAATTGTATACATGTCAATATATACATACACTTGTATATGCAATATGTCAATATATACATGCAATTATATACATGTCAATATATACATACACTTGTATATACAATATGTCAATATATACATGCAATTATATACATGTCAATATATGCATACAATTGTACATGCGATAGGTCAATATATACATGCAAGTATATATATGTCAATATATACATAGGATTGTACGTGCAATATGTCAATATATACATGCAATTATATACATGTCAATATATACATACAATTGTACGTGCAATATGTCAATATATACATGCAACTGTATACATGTCAATATATACATACACTTGTACGTGCAATATGTCAATATATACATGCAATTGTATACATGTCAATATATACATACACTTGTACGTGCAATAGGTCAATATATACATGCAATTGTATACATGTCAATATATACATACACTTGTATATGCAATATGTCAATATATACATGCAATTATATACATGTCAATATATACATACACTTGTATATACAATATGTCAATATATACATGCAATTATATACATGTCAATATATGCATACAATTGTACATGCGATAGGTCAATATATACATGCAAGTATATATATGTCAATATATACATAGGATTGTACGTGCAATATGTCAATATATACATGCAATTATATACATGTCAATATATACATACAATTGTACGTGCAATAGGTCAATATATACATGCAATTGTATACATGTCAATATATACATACACTTGTACGTGCAATATGTCAATATATACATGCAATTATATACATGTCAATATATACATAGGATTGTACGTGCAATATGTCAATATATACATGCAATTATATACATGTCAATTACAAATACATGTCAATTACAATTACAATGTCATTACAATTCGCTTAATGGTATTGACCCCGTTCAATTGGAATATATATATATCACTACAAATATTTTTCAAAACTTAAGAAAGAAACATTCATAAATAAGCAAAATAGATACAACCAATCATAATGAAACACTCTGATGACAACCAACCAGAAATCCATGGTGAACGTGTTCAAAATGGTTTTCATTTGATTTTAGATACCATGACAGATTTAGATGATGATCTTGCCAACTGTCTGGTACTTAAGGGTCAGATGATGCACATGAAAGAATGGAACGCTGTAGTATTTCTTGGGACCCCAGTGTAAGTGTAATCCACCTACATGACATCAACTTGTATCAATTTATACGAATCAATATATTTAACTTGATGAATTGACAGTTATTCATTAAAAAACTAATGACTTGGAATATAATTTTGGCATTCTTGACAACCACGGCTACCTATTTTAAAAAGCAACTATGTGAAGACGATGCGGAATGGAAAATCATATTAATAGCAACATGAAAATACCATTTGTCCTTAGTCTTTGAGACTAGGAGATTAAGTCTCCCAAGCGTCAAAGATTAACCCATTATTAATGACATGGTATGATTCCTTATTGTAGGCTTGACAACCTCGAGGCCATGCACCGTTCAGGGCTGTTCATCAATGATTTGAGTATGCACGATTCCAGTCGTGATTTGGTCCTTGCTGGAACACAGCAGTCTGCCGAGCTCAAACTGGCACTTGATCAGGTTAGTAAATGCAAATTGTTTGATATTTGATTTTCACTTCCAGTCACCTTCAGATTGTTCCAAGGTCAATGATGTTGTTAAAGATGATTAAATCCCCAATTCATTCATTCAATGAATAACAGATTTACTATATTACGTGAAATAAACGTGGAGATAAAGCTACCACTTAGAATTGATTCAAAGAAAAAGACTGGGGTGGCAGGAGGATTGTTAGAGAATTTCCTAACTATATGGAACATGGAGGAAATCAGGCTCATGTAGATGAGCTATTACACGTCGCTCATTGCGTGATTGATTTTAGCTTTGTTTTAGGATGACCCAGGAGCCCATATTTGATACAGATACTCTTGCTTGTTATAATGGTAAACCCCAATCCTTAATTGGAAAAAAATACATTTTAATGGGTAATTGACAACTTCAAATGTGATCACTTTGTTTCATTCCGTATAACATAAATAGGCAATGGTGATTTAATACCCGGGGCTTAGTACAATTTGTATACTAAACGAAATGAAATGACAACCAGGGCCTACTATTGCCTTATCACTAAATTTGATTTGCGAACGAGGCATTTTCTTTGTATTACGCCCGCCCTTGATATGAGAAAAAAGTGATACTAAAGTAATTGAATTGTGGTTGAATATGAAATAAAGCAAAAATAAAGATAATTTATCATTAATAAATGTCTCTTAATTGTCTTTGATTATCTCTGAATTATTGTAGTGTGACTCTATGTCACTCTCTGCTCCGGCTAACTGTCTCCTCCTGGCACTCTCATTCCGGATAACTTGTCCTCTGCTTCTCAAGACTCTATCTCCGGCTTCCAGACTCACACTCTTGGTAACTTCTCCTTGCTTCTCCGGACTCACTCTGCGTACTTCCATACTTTTCCACCAGACTCGCACCCTGGGTACTTCTACTCTGCTTCTCCTTCGGACTCTCATTCCGGGAACTTCTCATCTACTTCCGGACTCTCATCCTGGCTTCTGAACTCCAGGTACTTTTTCTCTCTTCTCTACTCCAGGTCGTTTCAAGAGGTCTCTGCCAGTTCTAGGAGGCCTATTTTCTCTTCTCCGGGAGGACTTCTCTTCTATTCCAAGAGGTCTCTGCCACTTCTAGGAGGCCTATCTTCCCCTCTCCAGGAGGAATGTGTCCTCTCCAATAGGTCTCTTTTATTTTGAGGTAACACTCCAGAAGAAACCTACCCCGGGCTCTCTCAGCTCAATTCCGGAGTGTCTTCTGAAGGGATAATCACGATCGTCTGATACGTGGGAGGCTTCCTTGGGTTATGCATAAATCTTAACCCTGGACTGCTATTTTGAAGGTGTCTGATCACGTGACCACGGGACAATGAAACCGAATATACATCAGTTCAATAACATAATTGGAAACTTCTTAATGAACGCCAAATATCCTAATAAAAACACAATGGGAGTTTCTTCAATATTTCCACAATTTTTACCCTTCTGTTATAAATTTTGTAAGTTGATGATTTAGATTTTTAAACGTCTGTTTACAGGAACAGCAGAAGAGCAGAAAGCTCGAGGAGAGCATGAGAAAGCTAGATATTGAGATGAGACGGACTGATTCGTTACTCTATCAGATGATTCCAAAGACAGTAGCTGACAGGCTACGAAAAGGCGAAGATGCAATGGACACATGCGAGGTGATTAATATGGATTAGCCGGTGCAATTTTCTTGCAGATTTCAAACCAAACCGTTACAGGGATTCATCTGAAATTTTCATGGATGTTTCCTCGGATGAAACAAAAAAGAACTGATTAGTTTTCGGGCATGCTGGGTAAATATTAAGGCGGCCATTAAGGATTTTTATCCTAAAATCTTCTCTATCTAGGCTTGTCTACAAGTTTTTAGCCAAACCTTTCTTAGATTCACCTGAAATTGTCAAGGATGTTTCTGCGTATAACATTTTAAAACTTGGTAGCTTTTGGGCATTCAGGTTTATTTCTATTATTAGAACTGATTAGATTTTGGGTATTTGGGGTAAATGTTAAGGCAGCCATTTTCTATCTTATTTGTCGAGACTTGTCTACAGGATTCCAGCAAAACCTTTAGGGATTCATCTGAAATTTTCAGGAATGTTTGTACCTATGAAAGTTTAGAACTGAATAGTTTTTGGGCATTCTTGATAAATGTTATGGCGGCCATTTTGGATTTTTCGTTCTAAATCTTGTTTGTCGAGGCTTATCCATAGGTTTCCAGCCAAACCATTTCGTTGATTTTTGAGTTTTTGGGCAATCTTGGTAAATGTTGGGGTGGCCATTTTGAATTTTCCGTCCCGAAAACTGTATTCTATTCATTGTCTTGTTTATTAAATAGTATAGCGATACCATCTATCCAATCCTCAACTTAAGTGCCTTTCTAATAATGATATTTCAATCTGAACTTGCATTGGAAGAGGTATGCGACATTGATATGTTTGTTTAAAATAAATTCCCTGAGATTTGTAGATGTAATTCAGGTTCATTTGTGCTATACATTGTGTTTATTTTGCGTGATGTGTTCCAGTGTCCCCTTAGAGGCACCGGGTCAGTATTTCAATGTCAGTCAAAAATCGTAATTTATTTAGCTAGGTCTTAACTCTCCATCCCCCCTTCTAACGAAGGTCTAACCCCAAGTGCAGAGTGAAGCCCTTGACCTACTAGTACTCATAATTTTGTGTTATTTTCTTCAATAATGCCCTCGGGTGCCATATACTAAATTAATTGCCTATATTTCAAGGCTGATTGATTATGTTTTCATACTGCTTTCGCAAATATTAAACGTTTTTTTCTCACCAGGCATTTGAACAAGTGACAATACTATTCAGCGACGTTGTTGGATTCACAAGTATATGCAGCCAAATCACACCGATGGGAGTTGTATCAATGCTGAATGCAATGTACACCAAATTCGACAAACTAACGGAAAAACATCAAGTGTATAAGGTATTATACCAATATAACAATACCTTTATTTTTTCATACTTTTTGACAATTTTAAGATTTATAAATCTTTGCTTCTTTCTAATATATAATTCATTTGTGTTGTCTTATTCAGGTTGAAACGATAGGTGATGCATATATGGTTGTATCCGGTGCGCCTGTTCGAACGAAACTACACGCGCAGTTCATTTGTGACATGGCCTTAGATATGGTAAAATCCATGACCGAACTGGACGACCCATCTACTGACGGACATATGAAAATAAGAGTTGGTTAGTTTTTGATTATTGTTCATAATGTTGAATGTTGAGAATATCGGATATCATTTTCTTAGTAATTCATTAAAAAGAGTATAGAAATTTAAAATTGAAGTTCGATTTTAGACTCAGATCTTAATAATGATTTCAGATTCTCAATCCCGAGAAACATTCCTGTAATTTTGATGCTTCAAACACTGCATTTGGAGAACTACTTGACTTATATCTCAAAACCAACCAATATTTCCAAAAATTAAAATATCCTTTTCTAATATATAGGATGCCATTCTGGGAATGTAGTTGCCGGGGTGGTCGGTTTAAAGATGCCACGTTACTGCTTATTTGGAGATACAGTCAATGTGGCATCCCGTTTAGAAACAAATGGCGAGGTGAGTTATTTTCAATTTAAACAAGAATATATACATTTTCAGTAAAAAGAGGAAAACATGTTTGTTTATTCCTGAATGTGTAACTATTATTCTTCAATGCTATTTATATACTTAGACTAGTTGGTCATTTACTTTGATAATCTAGCAGTTTGCATATTTTAAGAATACTTTGTTATCTATTTGACTGACAGTTAAACATCTTTTAAAATCAAATTTGCGCAAAAGTTTAGGCAAAAACAATTTTGACAATTAACAATATTTTGTTTTAACAATGCTAATGTATTAACGATTTATAAATGATCAACAGTGTCAACATGATAGGCATTACAACAAAACAATGTAATCACTATTAATTCCCTTTATAACACATCGCTAATCCTTCAGCGTTTTGCAGTAGGTCTTATCCTATTAGTCCAAAGTATCAATTCCAATAGGACCATGTTGACAGTTAGGAGCTTTGGAGATAACACTCATTATTAACTGTATACAAGGCAGGTCTAAGAATGGAAATCAAAAATCAAAGATTTCTTTAAATGCCCCCGTATAATTTGGGTTTCACCTAAAATATGGGCGACAATAGGCTCTCCCGTATTCCTATAAACGAAACACGAACACGTTCATATAAGTCCTAATATACTCTTTGGTACGCCGTACAAACGGAAATAAGTTGTGTATATCATTGCAGAGTGTATATCTTTACTGAACTATATTCAACTTATACGCCTCAAAGTATGAATCAAACCTACTATATGCGATGAAAAACAACTTATATTAAATAAAGACAGACTGTATTAAACTATTCTGGACTTATTCTTCTCTTATTCTACCACTTCTTATACGCAGTATTACGTAATAGCTTCATTTCCCGAGTTGTTTTAACAGATTTAAAGTGAATTCAATCAATGAATGTATTTTGTTTTCATTGCCAGTTAATCCGCTTGTTCAGGTTAATCTGTTCATTTCTACGACTGGGGGTTCTTATTTCCACCAAAAAGTCATACAAATGAAGTTTTTTACTTTTACTTTATTGAGCAATGACAGTCACATTATAATTAACATCATGTTAGATTTTGGATTCATTTCATAAAGTCTGTTGAACGTTACCTTTTTTACTTAATGCAACTCAGACTCCGGGTTAACTTTATGGTTTCCTATCACATTGAATGATATATAAGAGGAGTAAGACAACACTTCAATAACAAATCGATGAGCGCGTTTCAACCTTACCGATTTAAATCAAATTCTTTTAAAATACAGGGCGTTCAATAAGTACTGATAAAAATGGCTACCATCTTGCATTCTGGCGGCCATCCTGGACATTTTTAGATAAATCTTGTCATCGCTATTTCACATAAAACACTTAAAAGATGCACTTCAAATTTTCATACATGTTGTATGGTAAGAAGTAATAGAGCTCGTTAGTTTTTGGTGGCCATCTCGCATTCTGGCGGCCATCTTGGAAGTTTTATGATAAATCTTGACATCGCGATTTCAGGAAAACCAAACAGATTTACTTCAAATGTTCACACATTTGAAGTAAATCTAGAAGTTCTAGAGCTGATTAACTTTTCGACAGTCATCTTGACTTCTGGCGGCCATCTTGGATTTTTTTAGATAGATCTTGTCATCGTGATTCCAGGAAAACAACTTAACGGATTTACTCCAAATTTTCACACATGTTGCATGGTATGATATTCTAGAGCTGATTAACTTTTCGGTGGCCATCTTGCATTCTGTCGGCCATCTTGGAAGTTTTAAGATAAATCTTGTCATTGCGATTCCAAGAAAACCGAATAACGGATTTACTTCAATTTTTCACACATGTCACTATAAAATGCTTAATAAATTGTCAATTGTTCTAAATTCAGCAGTAAATTGTGCTGTATTATATCCCAATTAATTTTTTTAGATTTTTTACTGAGTCACAGAGAGTCAGAAAGTGAGTCAAAATCTAAAATGTACACACATCCAAGAAATGTGTCATTTACAACAAATTAAAGTAAAACAAAGAATTGTTATAGTGTAATTGGTAGCAACTGGAGATACAAGACAGGCATTAATTCGAAGCTTTTTCAAGGCAAACCTTTAGAGATTGTATAAGTACTTCGGTGGAGGTGTTGAGAGGGTACTGAAGCTAGCGATCTGGAAGACCAGAGACTGGCCAACCTGATCACACGGATAACAATATTCATCTTGTAGAAGGCATCTTAAAATACAGTCAGGCGATTGTCACTGAGGGAAATTAGTGCAGATTATTCAAATATTAAATAGAATGTAAAAGGATGATTAGGAATGATGTTAATTATGGTAGAACTTATTGTGCTACCATCTTCAAATATTGAAGAAACGTGAAAATTCATGTTATAATGTCAATATACTTAAAAGCCAATTCCGGGTATAATCACCCTTGAGCGGGAGATGTGCCATATCTTGTAAATGGTATTTCTATTGATGTAATACAGTTTTCACAACTTAAAGATAATTGGTTGATCTTGGTTGACCAGATTTCATACAAATTGGATGGGAATAAACATGCCTATACGATTTTGTCCATTACTTTTGAATCACCCCTCGTATATTCATTCGCTTTAAAGTGGCTCTATAATTCATCTTTGACCCTATTAAAAAGCTCATTATATTAAGAAGCAAAAATCTTGAATAGGTTCTCAGGCATAACTGAAACACAACAGTTAAGACAATGTTCACCAGCTTCATTATACCCTTACCCTGTATGTTTAGGCAATGAAGATACACGTCAGTGAGACAACAAAGACGCACCTCGAGGGATGGCCGTATAAACATGAGGAGCGCGGCTATGTTGATCTTAAGGTAGAGGAACAGATTCGTTTTTATTTTTATGATATATAACGTAGACAATCATTTTACATATTGTTAATCATCAATGGCTTCAAGTTACATTCATGTATTTAACGACCTCGTCTGATTGAACGAGGTATCATGACTAAAACAATATTTTGCATGATCATTTAGGCAAAGCATGTACGTTTTCTCCCCTAATTTTTTAGTTCAGTCTTGCCTTTTTAATGCTTGAACCCTTTTTATGTTCAATTAAACCTCCTCATATTTTGACGACAGCCTGCATCCTTACTGCTATATTGTCTATCACATTTGATAATGTTTCTGCTTGAATGTTTTGAATTTCTCCACAGATGTTGACCTTAAATTGGTCTAGGTGTCCCGTCTTCGGATTAGCATAAACATGGTTCTTCAAGTAACCCAAGAGAAAAAGTCTGGGGTGTCAAATCTGTTGAATAGGGAGGCCCTCATAATGTCATTATACAGAGAGATCAGACATTGAAGAAACTGCTTTCATGGGAATTCCTGTATAGCCCGTATTGTACACGGAAGGACTAAATCTTTTTGAAACAGCAATGTTCTCATTTGGATATGATTCGGTCTCTGTAACTCTGGAAGGTGGAACGCCATTATCAACTGTTTAACCATTGACCTGGTTCTCTGTGATTGTTCTGTTGTCTTCATCGTCAAACTTCTTTCTCCGTGGCTCTTTAGAGGAGCATTTTAAAACTAATACCAACCCTAAAGACCTCGAACAATGTAAGGCCAATATCCAAAGAGAAATTCAAAACATTCCACCTGAAACATTATCAAATGTGATGACCATCACAGCATAGTGATGCAGGGTGTCATCGACATTTAAACTAAAAAGTAAAGGGTTAAAACATAAAAACGCTAAAAACGCTAAAACATAAAAACGCTAAAAACGGTGTATCGGAGAGAAAAACTTACTTGCTTCAGCTACATGACCATGCAAAAATGTGTGGAAATATTGATTGATTTATGTGTGCAGTTGATATACTTTTGGATACACCCTGTTTATTGCCTATAGCACCTTTTATTTTGTTACGTTCATTGGGTACGTACCAAATTAAGCGTGACAACTGAACGCGAGGTGTACGGTACAACACGAGGGTGATTAAAGGAAGTAGTGCGCTCTCCATTATGATTTCCCCATGAAAAAAAATTGTTCATCTGATTTTTCAAAATGAGTATACTGCTTTTATTATTACATTTATATGCACACTAGTATCTTGTTGACCTATATTGAGCACTATATTGATGTATGGACCACTTATTAGGGTCATAAGTCAATCATTAAGTGTAGAGGCATAGATTCCAAACAAGGAAGTATTTTTGTGTCTGTCAAAATCCATTTGCATCCTACATAGTCCATGGTATGGCTCATAGATATTACAAATCCGTGGCATAATATATACACAGCGACATTTGAACCGATATTTAGGGGGGGGGACACATATCCTTATGCTTTTATAATGCCGTTTTGCTGAAAAAACTTAAGGCTTTCAGGTCGAATTATGCCTGTCATCACAAGAGTGCATTTCATGAGACTCAAATTCTTAATCGAAACTTATATACTGTACAATGTAAAGGATTGTCATTACATAAAAATATATTATCATTTTAACGTAAATGTCATTTTTTAATTAGTGCATCACACAAGGGTACTTTTCAACGTTTTATATATTTTTTTGAAATAAGACAAAGCAGATGTGACAAAATTATGGGGAATATTCAGAAAATTTATAATTAGTAACATATTAGTTTTGTCTTTACAGAAACATGATATTCACGTACATTTTTGTTCCGTTTCCAAGGGTCAGACAACGGATTATTGTTATGATATAAAACGTAATCAAATATGAAAGAGATATCATTTAATTTTGGTATTGGAATGTTTACAATCTAAATAAGGCAGGCGCAGTCAAACGCCTCTCAAATGTTATAGTGTCGAAGTGCTATGGCCGCGGCAATAAAATCACCATGCAATTTTGTAAAAATTCAATGCATTACATACTCCATCCAGTTTTAATTATCGATTATATAAGTGAGTTTGCTACGTTGATTGATTAAGAACAAGAAACCAACGTTCGTGATAGATGAGTGACAACATCCAGGACTATTTCATGCATGAAGTAGAGGAAGATTTGTGAAATTCAAGATACTCATAGGTTTTAGAACCGTCCCTCATGAAGACAGGATTCTGGTTTTGCTTTGATCATAACTTGACAAGTAGTCATTCAATTTTAAATGTTCATTAATAAGTGAGAGCCATACTATAATTAATAAGAGCAAGACACCAACCTTTGTAATGGATGAGTGACACCATTCGAGACGATTTCATGCAGCAGGGCGAGATTGAGAATTATTAAAGGAACTCATTTATTTTTTATTTCATTGACTCTAAATTTCACGGCGTATATCCGATCGCTCCTACATGCACGACGGAGCGTTTCATTCATGCGAAAACACTGCGGAGCGATATAAAATGGCAGCTAATGAAGATCCCTCGGTGGCTGTAAGTATTGTTTAACTCGTTTCTCTTACATATCAAACGTCATGGTGACATATTATGTACCATTCGATGAACACTACCCTGAGCAAATATCTTATTTATTCAACTTCTGATGGTAAACTGTTATTTGCTTGATTAAAGCTCCATAGTTTATTATTAGATCAAACGAATCTGAAGTTGACGAATTAAGCATAAATTACGAATTAAAGTAGTATTCCTATGATAACGTCAATCTTTCTGTTAAAGTAGTAGATCACAAACTCGTGTATTCTTATTTGCTGACATTCTAGTTCAATTCCATTACTTGTTCTCAAGAAATCGCTTGTTTTCCTCAAAACGCTCCGTCGATTTTGGACACAATTTTAGAAACGCTCGTACCATTTTGTTTTGATATTATTTCCAGATTGTTTTGATATTATTTCCAGATTTAGGAACTCCCAAAAACGTGTTGCACTTGTTGGTCAAATTGAAACTTCCAAATCTGGTGGTGCTACACGTGCAACACGTGCCGACTTAAGCCTCCATTAGATGATGTTATGCCTACATGTGTGCTAAAGCATAAAAGTACTTACAAAAAAAGAACACAAAGCATATACATAAATTAATCTTTCTTCTTTTGATGTCAAGAAACAGAAAATATTTTCTCTTTCTCTCCATGAAAAGGAAAGTCAAGCTATATATTTCCTAAACAGATCTAGACTACCACAGTGTTTCCACTTCACTGTGTAAACCACATCGTAGCGTTTCCTGAATATGAGAATGTCATCATTTTTAAGACTGTTTTTTTTGGTTATCAAATCACGATTAAGATAATGTATGGTGCGTTGAAGCTTTGAAATTTGACCAAAATATACGTCGATGCTCTAATCTTGGCTCAACTAATCAAATGTCCTGACAAAAGGGGTTTTAGCGGGTAGAATGACAAATACGTTAAATTCATGAATTGTGATAACTATACTGCTTCAGACAGCTCTCTCGAATAGATTCAAACATCACCAGCCAAACAAGTACAACATGAATATCACACCCATCGAATGGTTTACACGAATTAAACGAGTTACACATGCATCATATTCCCATTATCGAAGAAATCGTTTGACGGCTGATAATTTTTGCCCGCCATTTTTCTTACTTCAGAGCGTTTCATCAGTAATGAAACGCTCCGTCGTGCATGTAAGAGCGTTTGCGTTATACACCGTGTATTTTATCATCTGTTTTTACGAAACGACGACTTGTTCCAAGATGTGATCATATCAATCAAATCAACTCATCCTATGCGTCCCGATCCAGGCCTCCTAGACTTCCACCAACGCGAACATCAGTTCTGCTCCGCGAACTACGTTCCTTGAACTCGAAACATGGTTCGCAAGCACGGATCTCTGTGCGTGAGAAATATGTTTGGGGCCGAGGAAAATGGTCGTGCGGGAATAAAGATTTCATGTTTGCGATGTGAGAACTGTAGTTCAAATGCAAGGACCCAATTCTTTCTTACCAACTCCTATTTTTCTGGTTGACGATTTTTACTAGACAACCCTTTATAATTGCCGACATTTCTCAAAGATACATGCATTCTATCGAATTTTGGTAGTCTTTTTATAAGAAATCAATTCATGTTCAACCAAAATTGCAATTGCAAAATTTTTAATCGCAGACGGTATCAGTCTTCACCAATATCTCAAAAACGACATAAAATGTCGAAACATTGATTTGTATATTTAAGGTATTTTAAGGAACACATACAGCAAAATTATAGTTTTTTGACCCCTGCTAATGAGATGTATAATTCGGCCTAAAATCCCGCCGTATTTATCACTGCATACAAAAATAAAACGCAGGACATATGTAGGTTATCTGAATATAAGGTCAAATATCGCTGCGCATATATCATGTCACCAACTCCTTAATTAGACGTCCTAGAAATTTCATACCATGGACTAACACATCCCTACATCTTATCAAATATGTTATTAATTAATGAAACCTAACAGTATAATGATTAACAAAGTTGTATGGCATTTCATAAGTGTAAAACTTACTTTTGAACCATTTTTCTATAGCCATTTTGTAGGGAAAAAATTATGAAAAATGAAAATCTTTTAATTTGAAGTATGACCTGAATCGATTGCAAACTTCATATTTGCACATCTGATGTGATATAACATACCATGTCATATTGTGAAATTATTTAATTTGCAATCGATTCGTAGTGTATTTTAGGTATTTTTGTGAAAATCAATAGAAACCAATGGCCTCCATTGGAATCTGATGGTATCCACATGTTAAGTTAATGGAGCACATCGAATGTCAAGTCAATACACCCTTGCTGAACTTAACGACCTCAACCTCCGCCCATGCTTAAATATTTTCAAAGTATTATTTGAAATTGTATTCTTTATGTTACATCTGAAAATGATTCATTTTGTTCATGGGAAAATCATAAATGGAGAGTGCACAAGATCCTTTGAGCAAACTGATG